GATCTCCTAATGCCCCCCTAACTCACACAACACACAAAAATTAATTCATGAAGAATCATTGTCCTAAATGAGAGGTGAAACTATAGAATTTTTAAATAAAATATAGGTATAACTTTTTGATCTTGGGATAAACAGTTGTTTCTTGATACCAAAAAAAAAAAAAAAAGGCAAAGTAATATGTATTGGACTTAACAAATATGAGAGTAGTTTGTGCTTTTTAAAAAAAAAAAAAAAAAACCTGAAAAGACAATTTAAAAAGTGAAAAAAATCTAAAGAGATACCTGCACCACCATGTTTTAGAGCAGCACAGTTCACGATAGCCAAAATATGCAGTCAGCCAAGATGCCTCTCATCAGATGAATGGGTAAAGAAAATGGGATACACACACACACAGACACACACACCAAAGTATTATTCACCTGTTAAAAAAAATGAAATTGTGCCATTTGCATCAAAATGGATACAACTGGAGGACATCATTGAGTGAAATAAGCTGGACACAGAAAGACAATTCTTCATGTTCTTCCTTAGAAGTGGGAGCTAAAATTAAAAAAAAAAAAAAGTCAAAAGCTTTCAGAAATGCACATGTGTACCAGTATTGCTGCAAATATAGGTTTGTCAAACTTTATTTTATACTTTTGTCAAACCAATGGTTAAAAATGACTTACTACTGTCAAAAAAAATGACTTACTATATTTTAATGATGTGTGATTTTTTAAAAATTTACTGTTATGAGCGAAATGGACATCTTTTCATTTGATTACTGCTTATAGCCCTGGCCTGTATTCCTGCTGAACCATGGTCTTTTTACTTGTTGGTTGAACTCTTTATTTAATGGAGCATTAAGCCTTTGACTATAATGTAAATTAAAAATATGTTATCTCAGGGGCCTGTGCTGTAGGCTAAGCCTCTGGCTGCTGTGCAGGCATCCCATATGGCCACCAATTTGTGGCGCAGCTTCTCCTCTTCCAATCCAGCTCTCCACTTGTGGCCCTGCAGTAGAAGATGGCCCAACTGCTTGGGCCCCTGCACCCACGTGGAGACTCAAGAAGCTCCTGGCTCCTGGCTTCGGATTGGCCCAGCTCTGGCCTTTGCAGCCATTGGGAAGTGAATCAGCATATAGAAGACCTTTCTGTCTGTCTCTCCCTCTCTCTGTCTATAGCTCTGCCTCTCAAATACTCTTTCAAAAAATGTTATCTCAAAAAATAAAAGAGAAAATAAGGCAGTGGGAGGGAGGAAGGAAGGGAGAAGGCTTATATTCTTAGTATTATATCTATGAACTACATTCAATGTTCTCTTTGTATTAGTGTCACATTAACTTGAGAACTGATGAGAATTCAGTTGTAGTAATTATACAGTTGCTGTGACCCTGAGAATCTAATGTATTAATAAATTCCTGGCGAGGACACCATGGTGCAGTGGATTAAGCTGTCACCTGCATCCCATATGGGTACCAGTTTGAGTCCCAGCTTCTCCACTTCCAGTTCAGTTCCCTGATAATGTGCCTAGGAAAGCAGTGGAAGATGGCCCAGGTACTTGGGCCCCTGCCCCCAAATGGGAGACCAAGATGAAACACCTGGCTCCTGGCCTCTGCCTGGCCCAGCCCTGGCCTTTGTAGCCATGTGGGAAGTGAATCAGCAAATGAAAGATCATTCTCTCTCTGCCTCTGCCTTTCCCCAACTCTGTCTTTCAAATAAATAAATCTTTTATAAAAATAGATAAATTCCTTAAAAATAAAAAAGTAAAAATACTGTTATTTGTAAGAGATATTTAAAAACCAAACAAGTCAATCTACAGAATGGGTGAAAATATTTGCAAATCATACCTGGTAACAGCTTGTATCCAGAATGTATTAAGATCTCCTACAGTTCAATAATAAAAAGACAACCCAATTTTAAAGTGGGAAAAAGTATTAAGTAGACTTTTCCACAAGCGTATGTACAAACAGCATGTAAAAAATGCTCCCATCCTAGCGGGAGATGGGATGGTTGAGGGTGGGAGGGAGGTTATGGGGAGAAAAAGCTGCTATAATCCAAAAGCTGTACTTTGGAAATTTATATTTATTAAATAAAAGTTAAAAAAATAAAAAAAATTAAAAAATAAAAGAAAAAAATACAAAGAGTGGGAATAAGAGAGGTAAGAGATGTGCAATTCGGGACATGCTCAAGCTGACTTACCTCAAACGGTAGAGTTAGAAACATACCAGGGGATTCCAATTCAATCCCATCAAGAGGGCATGTACCAATGCCATCTCACTAGTCCCAGTGATCAATTTCTGTTCACAATTGATCATAATGATAGGACTAAGAACCAAAGGGATCACATAAACAAGAATAGTGTCTGCAAATACTAGCTGGTAGAATCAAAAAGGGAGAGAACGATCCTACATGGGAAGTGAGATACACAACAGACTCATAGAATGGCAGATGCCCTAAACAGCACTCTGGCCTCATAATCAGCCCTTAAGTCATGCGGATCCGGCTGAAAAGCCCATGAGAGTATTTCAGGCATGGAAAGCCAAGACACTCTGGGGAAAAAAAATAACCTAAATGAAAGATCTCTGTGAGTGAGATCCCAGTGGAAAGAACGGGTCATCAAAGAAGGAGGTACCTTTCTCTGAAAGGAGGAGAGAACTTCCACTTTGACCATGGCCTTGTCTAAATATGATCAGAGTCAGTGAACTCAGGGGGCTTCCATAGCCTTGGCAGCTCATGACAAGAGCCTAGGGTGATTACTGATGCCATAAACAAGAGTGTCAATTTGTTAAGTCAACAACAGGAGTCACTGTGCACTTACTCCTCATGTAGGATCTTTGTCCTTAGTGTGCTGTACATTGAGATCTATGCTATACTAGTACTCAAACAGTATTTTCACTTTATGTTTCTTGTGTGGGAGCAAACTTGTTGAAATCTTTGCTTAATGTATGCTAAACTGATCTTCTGTATATAAAGAGAATCGAAAATGAATCTTGATGTGAATGGAAGGGGAGAGGGAGTGGGCAAGGGGAGGGTTGTGGGTTGGAGGGACTTTATGGGGGGGAAGCCATTGTAATCCATAAGCTGTACTTTGGAAATTTATATTCATTAAATAAAAGTTAAAAAAAAATGCTCCCATCCTTAGTCATTAGGGAAGTACAAATCACAATCACCATGGGATGCCCCTTTACACCCACTAGGATGGCTCTAATTAGTTCTGACCCAGTGATTCCACTCCCACAGAGAGATTTAAGAAAATTAAAAAATGTGTTCACACAAAAATTTGCACAGAAATATTTGTAGCCACAGTATTCATAATATTACCAGAAAGAAGAAACAACTCAAATATCTATCAACTGATAATGCATAAAGAAAATGTAGCATATCCCAATGTAAATTATTTAGTCACAAAAAGGAATGGAATACTCACATATATTTCAATATGCATGAGCCTCTTAAACATGTTAAGTGCAGAAAATAAGACACAATGGATTACATATTATATGGTTCCATTTGTTTGAAATGTGCTGGCTAGGCAAATCTGTAGAGACAGAAATTTGTTTACCTGCGGTGGGATGGAGGCACAGGTGAGGTGAGACTGCTGAGTGGCAGGGATTTTGTGAGTCTGGTAATGAAAATGTTGTGGAATTCATGGTGAGATGGCTACAGAGACTTGGAGCATACTAAAAACCACTGAATTGTATGCTGAAAACAGGTAAATTTTGTGGCCTTTGAGTTACTATGTTAATAAAATGTTTTTTAAAGATGGTTCCTTTAAGTTAGGATGTTTATTCCCATTTAAAAAGTACCTAGGGAGAAGAGTGGTTTTAGTATTATGAAAGGGTGACTTACATGTCTGAGCCTGTCCCACGGACAGCTGACTGGGACCAGCACTCTTGGAGTTTTGCTAAGCCTGATAAGGAGACACAATGCCCAAGCATGAGAGAAGGTGCACTTGAGAGGACTGGGACCCTGAGGCAGCATGGCCATCCAGGAGGAAACTGAAAGGTGCTGATGCTGACGTCCTAGGAACGCGAGAAGGGGCCCTCTTTAGGAAGGCTGGTGCAGAATATTCACTCTATCCACTTACTAATTTGGTTGTTACTGGCTTTGTCTGGGATTATGTCTTCTGTTAGATCCTCAAACTCCAATGAAAGAAGCACTTGTTAGGTTCACTTAAGCTTGAACATGTATTAGACATATGCATATGGGATACATACAGTGCTAGGCACTGGGTTATATATATGTATGACATGCTCTGCCTTTATGACATTTAAAATATGTTATGTCTTACGGAAAATAAAAACAAAAATGATGTGGTACAAGGTCAAACAAGAAGGTTGAAAATGAAATGATAACGGTAGTTCATTTTAATGTTAAGTAACTAACAAATAAGGACAACATCTGGTATATGGTTCACATACAATGCACTGTAGGTTTTAAGAAATCTACCTATATTACATTGTATGCTATATTACATATATTACATATATTACCTATATTACATTGTGTAAGGGATGAGGCCTTCATCAATGCCGAATGTAGAGAAAGGTACAGGCACTCGTGGTTCACAGCAGGTCACAAAGAGGTCATGCATGTGAGGCTACTTTAGTCAGTTAAATAAGAGCTTATTAATACCAATATTTGTGTCAAATATTGTTCTAGTGTTAAGGGAAGTCTTTTTCCTTGGAAGAAAGGATGCCAGTTTCAGAGAAGTAACAAACTGAAAAGCCTGCTTCATTTTGCTGTGGAGTATGAGGGCAGAGGTGGAAACAGATGGCCCTCAGGTCCACGTGCAGCCTTCTCTGTACAGGAACAGTCAGATAGACTAGCCAGAAATACAGGCATTCATGTCGTCCAGGGAGGGTGTTTCTTTAGGTAAGTATGTAAGAAGAGTCAGGTGACAACTGAAAGACATAGAACATTCTGTCTGGCTAAAGACTCAAGAGGAGGTGGCCAGGGAAATGGAGACTTATATTCAATAAGAAATCTTCAGTGACATTCTTATCTTTTTCACTCCTATAGCCGACATCAACTTGGATATATCAAAGCCTTTGAAAGCAAACCTGAGTTTTACCAAACTGCACCAAATGAACCACTTTTTAAAGAAGATAAAACGTGCACATGGCCTTGCACATAGCAAAGAGACTTCTGACACCACGGGGAATAAGGACGAGCTTCTAGTCTCCAAAGGTTACCGTGGAAAGTTGTCCAAACCTAAAGTTCATGGAGATGGCGTGCAGAAGGTTTCTGTTCAGGAAAACATATGGAGAGCTATTTCCTCCTTTCAAAAAATTTCTGCCCATACCACTCAGATTGTGGTCTCCATGGAAACTGTTCCCCATCCTAGTAAGCCATGCCTGTTAGCATCTCTATCAAACCTCAGTGGAAGCCTTCATGTCAAAGCAGCACAGAAAGTACCTGGTAAGTCACAGATGAGGGAAAGGGAATAGGGGGTGGAAACATGGAGAGAAGCAGTATGATTTGTTAACATTGGAAAATGCACCATTTTGAACATTTGTATTGTGTAGATGTTAAAAGTTTTAAAGACTGTTAGATATAAGGACATTTGGGCTTGTGATCTTGTTTTAGATATAAGTTTGTAATATCCATTGAGCCTAGATATTTAAATGCCAGGGTGTTTCTGTCTACCACTTAAGGTATCTTCCTGTAGATGCCTGGAAGGCCATTCATTCTTGCTTTCTTTTTGCCTACAATAGCTGTAGTGGAACCACAGAGTATCAAGTTTTGTGTGCAGTTAGGTCAGTGATTCTCAAAACCTGATTCCAGAACCAGCAGAGTTGGCATCACCTGGGACCTTGTTTGAAATGCAAATTCTCGGACTACCCTGACAGACTGAGTCAGAAACTGGGCCAGGAGCCCAGCAATCTGTGTTTCCAGAAGCCCCACAAGTGACTTTCATGCACCATATTAAGTCACTGGTAACTATTTTTTAAAGAAAAATTGCTGTGGCAGCAGAGAGGACCCACAAAGTATATTAGAAGGCAAGGTTCAACTGTGCAGGAATGCCATGAGGGCATTCTACCAGGCAGCAATACCTGGGAAGACTGGCTTCTGGGCCGCCTCTGAGCAACCAGAGGTCTGGGCCCTGCAAACTGACAGTCCTTGGTAGGGGGAGAGGTAAGAAGGTCACTGGCAATGACATCTACATTTTCCTCTTCTGTCACCTTAAGCTGTTGTGTGCTTTTCTTACTGAATCAAAAAGGGTGGACAGAAGCCATGTGATGGGGAAAGAAAAAGACAAGGCACAGGTGGGAAATAACAGCTTTCAGTCACCAAAACTGCTACTGTAAAGGACTAGGGCACAGTGCCAGAAATTTTGCTCTGAAAGTAAAAGTAGCAAAAGAGAACCATCTTTTTTTTTACAACTTTAATTTGAAAGGAAAAAATTGAGGCTTGGGTATGGTGCAGGGAATAAAGTAAATCCTTAAATTGTGAATAACGTAGTTGTTTACCAAAAACAGAGTTGCAGCTGGAAACTAACTGTAACTTAGTTGCACATAGCTAGTTTGAACACAGTAGTTTAAGAGATACAGAAAAAGTTTTACAGTTGAGAAGTATGACTTTCCAGCCAAAACATAGATGATTTATTTCTTTCTCACCAGAAATATTTGTGACCAAGCCAGCAAAAAGTTCTTTATTTTTTTATTGTCCTAAAAGTTAGAAATGAAAAATGTAAGGTTTATGGGACATAAAAGACTATGAAGCACTGGAGGGCTACAGTGTCCTATTTATCCACAAATAAATTGCAGTCCAGACACCACCGGACCCATTCCCACGCCTTTCCCATTGCACCTTAATCATAGCAGGGAAAAGTTTGAACTAAAAAGAGTAGAAGAACTTAAACATACCATTTTCATTCTAGGTCCTATTTTTTCATCTGTATTATTTTTTTTATTCACTTGCTATTCATCCACTTTTAAGGCTGTCTGTACTTGGTAAATATATATAAAATAAAAATAAAGTCCCTCTCTCAGAGCTATACAACTTAGTCAACTCATTCTGGTTTTATGACTTGTTTTTCCCTCTTTACATTAGAAAAAATACATATCCTACTCCTTGCAAAGTAATGTTCTTGAATCGAATGAAACACAGAAATAAAAACTACCGCTTTCACCAACACATACTTTATACAACTCGAATGTGTAGTACCCATCAGATGTTCTAAAATAGTTATTGTGTCAAATCAAAATTGAAGTTAGCCATTTAATAGGAAAAAATTTATTATGAAACTATAACAAATACCAAAGTCTATTTTTTGTTTCTGCCTAATGTGACAGCATACTCAGTTTAAGAAGATCAAGTCAACAAGATAATAAATTATAATTACGTGAAATAAGATGTCAATTTCTAGTTTTTGTAAAGGCTGATTTCTAGGAAAATTATAATTGAGATGCTACATATTTTCAAAAATTAATTTTACTTTATTTTTCAAATAAAAAGCTTTGAACATTAATTTCACTGTGTAGTTAAAAAAATATCTAAATATTTTCATGCTTTGCAATTTGGATTAAATATATGCAGATATAGTTTTAGGATATAGTTTTAGTAAGCAGTAAAAGTACCCGACACCAGAAATACACACACATATACAAAGAACCACTTACCAGTAGTCATATTTTTTTTTTGTCTTTTTCAAGTGATATCATTCTGCATTCGACCAGAATTTTTTATAATATATCTTTGAGCTCAATGGAGTTAATGTCAGATTTTTATAGTTTGAATCTAATACAGAAATACTTAACTGAGTCTTTGATTTTACAGTTTATATAACTGTTGTGACCATCTGCAACAGCTGCACTTTTCAAATTATTTGCTGAACCAAATTGAGCACAGTGACAAAAGTAGTCATCTCAGATGTACTATTAAACAGAGAAAGAAAGAGGAGCATTGCCTTGGTACAGTATAGCCATCTGCTGTACAGATGTTATTGTATAGAATGACTTAAGATAAAATAATTGTAGAAAATTTTCATTAAAACCTCAACAATTTGCACTTGTTTATGCGAATCTGCATAGCTCCCCAATGAGACAACACACTTGGGGTTTCTTTGGTTCTCACTCACTTTCTCTTTGATCCTTTTTGATGTGCTGACTTTAATAAACACAGTCAAAAACACTGTGCAAAAACATCATGGAAAAAACTACAAAGGAACAATTATAGCGGCAGAAACTACTCTAATCCCTAACTTACGCAAGCTATTTTTAGTGAAATATTTTTTTTAACACTCTTTATGTGACAATGTTATATAAACAGGGAAAAAATGGTCCTTTCCAGATGAATTTTAATTTAGTTTCTGAAATAGACTCGTAATGCTAGAAGAATCTTATGCGCTAAGTAATATTTAGAGAAACACCATTGGGAATGTGTTGTAGGCATGTTCCTTCATTTGTCAAAGGTACAAAAAAATTTTTGTTCACCTAATGATTATATTGTTTTATAATCTAAATTGTCATAAATTGATAAGTGTATGTGGATATGTGGAAAGAAATAATAAAAGCATGGAAAGGAGAAGTTAATTTTCTTCCCAAAATACTGTCATTACCTTTAAATAATTAGAAATTATTAAGAAATTACACTGTTTCTACAAGTTTTTGCAGATTACTCACTGAAGTGGTGGAAGTAATTCCAATTGTTTTTCCAGTTTTTTGACATTTGGAATAAAGTGAAATGATTAAATATTTTCACTTTACCAAAAAAAATAAATAAATAAAATAAATTCCATGAGTTCTTAGACTCCTTTACTATTCTGCTTACCCCATAGTAGGAGAGTTTCAGGGGCCTTGATTTTTTTTTTAAAAAATGCCACTCTGCAGATGCTAGTATGATAGTAACTTTGTTACAATCTAATGTGTATTTCTGCTGAAATATTATGTTTTTGCATGTGTCTTCAGTAAAAAGACCCTAAAATTCTCATTTTAGTAGATATAATTCTTATATTTTAAAAATCGGTATATAATACTGCAGAAAACCCTATGATTGTATTACCAATAATAAAATGAATTACATTAACAAATTATATTTTACGTTTTGAAATATTTTTGGGCTAGTAACACTGCTATTGTTGTCCATTGAATCTATTCCATTCTGTAGTATATCTTTGTTAAAAAACAGCCCCTTTGCCCCATGTATACACATAACACAATCTTTTTTGCCACTTGAAGTATGTCATTTTGGAGAAACTAGATATATATAGCTATAAATTCTGGCGTGGCTGTGTAGCACCTTCCACAGGGAGGGTGTGGAGGGAGCTAGACTTTAGCTCCCTGTCAGAGTAAGTTATGGCTCTCTCAGGGCGGCACTCCTTAGATTTCTGCAAACAGGAGTACACAATTGAGAGCTGTGAAGTCGCTGTGCTTGCGGCTACCCTGGGCTTTCTCAGAGGCACTTACATTGGCAACTTTCATTTAGGTAAGGAAAGAAAAATAGGATGTGAACAAGCTAGATGCTACAGAGGACAAGTCTGAGGGAGGCCATCTTGGCTGGCTAGTTAGTCAGAACTGGGAAAGTCCTGTGTCCACGAGGACTTGAGGGACTTTTCACCCTGGCAAAAAGCAGTGAGTCGAACCTCTTCTGATCAAACAGCTGGGATTTAAAAGAACCTTCACCGCCCCAGCAGGACTTACCTTTGTGTATCGACAAAATTAGAAAGAAAGAAAGCATGCTCACATTATTTTGCAAGTATATAAAATGGCTCTTCTCGAGTTCACCAGGTTCTCAACCGTTAAAATATAAAGAACCTGAAGTTCCTTTTCATGCACTGAAAAGTGAAACTGGGTCGTTAGCAGATACAGAGCAGAGCTGCAGCTTTTCCTTCCACAGGTCACTGGATCTCCTGAGGCAAGGCCCCTCAGGCAGTGTCCGCGGCCTTTGGATGCTGTAGAGCCACAAGTTAGCCTAAAGGGAAATAAAGCATTAAATTAGATATGACTACCTAAAAGAATATGTTGCAATAGTAAGCCATTTACAACACCCCAAAGACTCTTGTTACTTTTAGGAAGAAATAGCTTCTCTTTCCAACGCCCTGAACAATAGGAAATGAATTCTTTGTCAGTGAAAACCAGAGGACAAATTTAACTTTTAAGTAGCCACTGAGGATTGAAGTGGAAATACAGCTTGTAGACAGCTATACAAATCACTAACAAACTTTAATGAATATTGGGTGTGGGCATCAGGGTCCTGTCATTTTTGACACTATGTCCCAAGTAGCTTAAACCCAACACTCGAGGAAAGGTGGAGACCTCATTGGGTCTGTAACATCTGGGATTTTATTTGTCATTTTGGCATACCCTGCAAGCGCAAAAGAAAGAGTAAAAGGGGATTATCTTGACAATGAAATGAGTTACTGAATCTTGTGATAATGAAAAGCAGAAGAATTCTAATGCCTTTCTATAGTCCCCGAG